GCGTTTATTCATCTTTTTCCCGGGGTCTCTTTTAAAGTGAAAGACGAGTCCCTGGGAGGGAACCGCATGACATCACCGGCGTCCCAGGAGCACAGAATTCGGGGCTGGAGCAGATCCCGGAGATAGTCCTCTCTTCTCTTGTAAGAGGAAGCTGAAGTCTGGGGAGACGAAGGGATTCGCCCAAGGTCCTTCATCACATCAGTGGCAGTGATGTGGCTGCCACCCAGGTCCTCTGACTCGCAGCTCGGTGGGATCTGGTTATCAAATCAGTTTGCTCCAGTGACAAGAGGAGGCTGCCCGTGTGGGGGCCCTGGCCCCCAAGTGAGGGAAGGCCGAAAAGGGGGTGGGGATGGAGAGAACCTGCAGGAACGCAAGGCCGAGGTGAAGACACCTTCCCCTGCGACCCATTTCCTCTAACTGTGGGTGTTGTGGTGTTCATGCTGCATTTATGGGTCAGAACGTCACAGGGAGCGCCCCTCTGGCTGGCTGGTCCCTGCTTTTCTTAGGAGGGTGAATGCCACGTCTCTGTTTCCACCTCCACCTTAGCTATTTTTTTGCCATATTTTTATGCCATTTTTATTAACATGACATAATATTTTTCTCTAACTCATTTTAAACTTATTTAAAAACGAACCTTTGTTTTACTACTGCGCAAGAAAAACCAGTTATCACTTGCCAGAAATAGATGGTAATCATAAAAAGAAATATAATGAGATCGAAACACAGTTATTAAAATATTGTTAGTTGCCTTTCCTGCCAAAAGCTTTTAGCTGGAAGACTGTTTTCTTCTTTGTAAAAAGAAAAATTAACAAGTGTTGGGAAGACATTAAAAATCTGCCGGCCCCGGGCGAGACTGTCCCACAGGAAGCAGGACCTGCATTAGGTTCCTGGGGCGGCCACTCTGGGGCTTCCGACCACAGAACCGTGCTGTCTCCCGGCTCTGCGGGCCAGACGTGGGACCTCGAGTGTCAGCAGGGCTGGGCTCGCTCTGAAAACTATCGAGGAGAATCCTTCCTTGCCTCCTTAAAACATTTTTTTGTTTGTTTTTCAATTACAGTTGGCATTCAACATTATATTAGTTGTGGGTGTACAGTGTAGTGGTTGGACAATTGTACAATTTATGGAGTGACCCCTTGATAATTCTGGCCCCCACCTGGCACCATACGAAGACAGCTATTGCAATAGCATCAATTACGTTCCTTACGCTGTACTTGACATTCACTCCCCTGACTACTCGGTAACCGCCGATTTGTATTTCCTAATCCCTTCACCTTTGTCATCCCTCCCATCTGGTGACCATCAATTTGCTCTAAATCTGTTTCGGTTTTGCTTGTTTGTTTATTTTGTTCTCCACATATAAGTGAGATCATATGGCATTTGTCTTTCTCTGTCTGACTTATTTCATTTAGCATAATGCCCTCTAGGTCCATCTATATTGTTGCAGATGCGAAGACATTATTTTTTTAAAGCTCAGTAATATTCCATTGTACATATGCGCTGCTTCTTCCTTGCCCACTCATCTCCTGATGGACACTTGGGCTGCTTCCATATCGTGGCTATTTTGAATAATGCTGCAGTGAGCATAGGGGTGCTTATATCTTTTCAAATTAGCGTTTTGAGTTTCTTCCTATAAATACCCAGAAGTGGGATTGCTGAGTCATAGGTACTTCTGTTTTTAATTTCTTGAGGAAACTCCACACTGTTTTCACAGTGGCTGCACCAGTCTGCATTCCCACCAACAATGTACTAGGGTTCCCCTCTCTCCACACCCTCGCCAGCACTTTTTTGTTGATTTATTGATGACAGCCATCCTGACAGGTGTGAGGGGATATCTCCTCGTGGTCTTCTTTCCTCTCATACATATTGCAGTAGCTCCTGGTGCTTGGCTGGTGATCCGCGCTCTTCCTGGTGCTACTGGAGGAAACAGGTCCTTCGGCAGTGTCGTGGGAGAAGAATTTCAGGACACTCACACAGGAGGAATTTTAAACAGTAGTGGCAAGATTATTAGAATGAAAAGCAATGGTATATATACTCTTGGAGAGGCAGGGAACAGGCAGGCTAGAGGGCAGCGGCTGTGCAGACTCAGGAAAGGAAGTTACTGAGGCAAATGGAGAGCCCTCCACCGCCACTTGCTGCTCTCCTGGTTGCAAGTCTTGTGGGACCCTTAGAGTTTAGGAGGAAAGAAGGTAAACAGCAGGTGTGTGCCCCAGAGGAGGAAGAGCATGGATATGGTCCAAGGAGGGTCCTTTGTCTAACTTCCATGTATTTCCTTGGGTTCGGAAAGAGCAAGCTTTCTTTTAAACCACCCTGTCTCTTTCTGGGCTCTCCCTAGGCTTGTGCTTGTGCCCTCCCCGCGTCCAGCCTCCTTCCTGGATTCCCCGGGGCTGTGGCCTTTCCCACTCTCGCGCTCTCCCCAGACTTTCCCAGGCCAGTGCCCTCCCCTTTCTGTGGTCACCATTTGGGCTCCTGCTGTGCATGTGCTGAGTCAGAGGGATTCTCTCTGCCATTTTCTCCCTGCTCCTCCCCCCTGAACCCAGTGCAACCATGTTGGTTACCACCGCCCCGCCCCGCCCCCACCACTGTGACTGTTAAAGCTATCTTTCCTGCCTAGTCCACTGGGCGGGATGTTTGCCCTGTTTGGTGCGAAGAGGCCAGTTACTCCCCTGGCTGACTGTTCCATCCACTCCCTCCCCTTCTGTTAATATCTAACGGACCACCGCTCTAACCCTTGCTTTGTGGCTGCGTCCCTCCAGTCTCTGCCTTCATTGCCACATGGCTCCCTCCTCCTGTCTTATCTCACGTGGCTGTCTTCTTACAAAGACAGGGGTCCCCTTGGGTCCGAGCCTGCCCTGCTCCAGTGTAGTCTCATCTTAACTAAGTGCATCCGCAACAACCCTGTTTCTGAATGAAGTCACACTCGGAAGTGTGGGTGGCTAAGACTTCACCATACCTTTACAGACGTGGGGGGCACAATTTTTCTATAGCAGGGGCCTTGAAAGAGAGTGAAAAGGGAGGACCGCTTCACTGTGCGTCCAGTGCTGTCGAGTGCCTGTCCAGGTCCGGCAGCAGGACTCAGGCGGACTTCAAGGGCGTGGGAGGGCCGCCTCTCCTCCCAGGCAGAGGCGCACGGAGGCCCTGTGGCTCCCGGAGCAGGTGGCGTTCTTGAGGCCTGAGCGGGCTTTCGGTAAGTTGGCTCTGGGGCCAGTAGGCAGCCCCAGGGTCAGGGTGGGTGTGCTCCACATTTGGACCAGAAATCAGCATCTTAGAGACCTCTTTATAAGCACCAGCCTTTCCCGAGACCCTGTTGGGTGCAAAGCCCTGCAGTCCCCAAATGTGTCTCCTGCGCCTCTGGTCCCATGGGCATGAACAGCAGAAAGGGCCAGAAGGTGGGTGAGGTGAGCAGGGGGTGGGGAGGAGTGGAGTAGGCCAGGGGCAGCTGGGCTCTGGGAGAAGTCTCTTGGGCTCCCGTAGGAGGAAAGCCCCTGCTCTCCTGCAGCGCTGCTGGGGAGGGGAGGGGGGCAGAGCATGGACACGCTAGGTGGTCGTCGGGCTAAGGGGAAACATACAGCAGTGGGAGGGAAGAGTTGGGGAAAGGAGGTAGAGAAGCTGCGGGGTGCCAGGCCTTGGAAGGCCCGGTAGCTACACGTGGGTGAGGATGTGGTATTTGGTCCTAAGCGGCAGTGCAGGGTTTTGAGCAGAGACGTCAGTAATCCGACTCACTTTTAAACAGATCCCCCCTCTGCTGTGCTGAGAAGAGATGTCGAGAGGCAGGAGTGGAGGCAGAGGGAGAGGCTCTTGCAGTAGTGTGGGCAGATGAGGTGGTGGTGGCTGAGACCAGGTGACAGTGGTGGTGAGAAGTGACTGGATTTTGGATATTCTTTGCAAGTAGGTCCAGTGAGATTTCCTGATTGGACGAGCTGCGAGCGAGAGATGTTCAGGCAGCAAGGTGTTTGGGAGCAGCTAGAAGGATGGAGCTGCCATTGGCTGGGATGATAAAGGCCGAAGGAGCTGCAGGTCCAGGGAAGACTGAGGGCTCCCAGCGGGGCACACTGAGGCTAAGATGTGACTCTCGGGCAGTGACGGTGGGTGGGGAGTTACACACAGGAGCCCGGAATGTGGAGGAGGGTGTGGCCCCACAGATGGAGCTTTATGAGTTAGTTATTAGAGGTGAGATGGTATAGAAAAGCCATGCAACAGAATGAGCTCACTTTGAAAGTGAGTGCTTGTAGAAAGAAAAGAAGAAGTCAAAGGACTGATCCCTGGGGCCCTGCAATAAGGGAGGCTCTGAGGACCTATCAGCAGAGGACAGGGAGCAGGCAGCTGGTGACAGGAGAGGAGGGGAGAAGAGCCAGGAGAGAGCCCAGCTGTCTTCCGTCCAGGAGGCGCTGGGGGAGAGTGTTCTGAGGAGGGGGTGGCGACCACCCTGTTCATGCAGTGCTGCAGATGGGTCGCTGCCAGAGGAGGGGAGGCAGAGAGGTGGGCCAACAGTGGAGCCTCTGGGCTCCCCTGGCTGCTGCTTCTCTCAGGGAAGGAGGGCCACAGGCTGGGGGCGAGGGCGGGGAGGAGTCGGCAGTATGAGGAGAGGCCAAGAGGGAGCTCAGGGAACGTGACAGCAGCTGAGCAGCACTTACGGCCACTTGACTAGTGGCACCTCCAGAGTTTCCCTCTCTGAAGGACTTGGAGATGTAGATCTGGTTGGAAGGGAGCTTGGCCTTGACCCTGCAAACTGCCCACAGGAGGCTGGGGCACTTCAGTCCTCCACATCAGAGGCAAGGGGAGCTGAAGGGGAGGGAAATAGGGCCAACCCCTTAGCACATCCCCCGTCTGGGGTGTCCCAGACCGTCTGGGGCAGGGAAGCCATGAAGCTGGGCACCGAGCCATCCCCTCTGTCACCAGAAGCAGCCGGTGGGGTGAGAAGGGAGGTGCAGGACTGGAGAGGAGGACACCAGGTAGAATCGAACCACGCCCCTCACCTGTGAGGGAAGGGCACTCCCCCCTCTCAAAGTTCCAGGTGGGAGGTGTAGGCAGAGCTTTTCTAGAGCAGATAAGGCTGTATCTCTGCAGCACCTCGTCCAGTCACACACACACACACACACACACACACACACACACACACTCAAACATCAAAGCCTTCACCTGTCGCCAGGAATTTATGCAAAGATATTCCCAGGGCATAAAATGTCCCTGGAACTCCTTTTTGGGAAATCCGACTGAGCATGTGACACACTCTGACTTTTCTCTGTGGGGGTCACTCTTTGCCTTTCAAGGGTAGATTTGATTTCTGGAAACAGCCCAGAGTCATTTAGAGCCAAGTGTGCAGACTGAAATTAGAGATTAGAGTGTGGCCACTGATGAGGGTTGATACAGATAGAATAAAACTCGCTGTGTCTTGTGTGAATGGGGACAATACTTCTCTTACAGGATTTCATCCGGTACAGTATGTAAAGGGCCTGGCGCGGTTTTTGATCCCCAGCAGGCATTTCACAACTGGTAATAATGAATATTCCTAAAACAGAGATCCTGAAATGAATGGAAGAATCATTGAAATAAGCTCTTCGTTCCCCAAGGTGACAGCTTTGAAGGGGCAGACTTTGTCTAGACTGACACATTTTGCTAAGTCTGTTAAAAAAGCAGATTCGTAACTTTATCATTGTATCTGTCGCTCTCTTTACCAACCTTGCGAATAGGGAGATCAGAAGCTCCGTATCAAGAGAAGAGCAGCTGGAGGAGATGATGGGGAGAAGGCAATGCCAACGCCTCGGCGGCCTCATGACCAGCAGAGTCTGCTGTGGCCCCTGGCGGCCCAGCACTAGACAGTGTGGGTCCCCGGGGACGGGACGGAGGCCCAGTGTGTCCTCCCCTCCCCCACACCACCAGCAGGCTTCTCTGCAGGGTTGCTGATACCAGGGAGAAACTTTAGGTGAGAAATTCTTGTCTTTGGCTTACGTTTTCAGTCTTTCAGTCAAAGAGCAAATAACCAGGAGGAAGATAGCACGGGAGTCATTTACAGAAGAAGGTTACTCGCTCATTTCCCGAGACCAAGTCTGGAGCGTGAGAGCGTGGACACAGCAGAAGGGGCCACGGCGGTTCTGCCTGAAGGTGGGGAAGGAGAAGGCATGGCCGGGAGGGAGAGGGGCCAAGGCGCATGACCTCCTGCTCCAGCCTGTGCAGAGCCAGACCTGCGTTGTGCTCCCCTCCCGGGGCACAGGAGGCAGCGTCCAGGGGGGGTTTGCATGGTGCCAGCTGGCTGCCCTGCAGGGCCGCAGAGAGGCCGGGTTGGGGTCTGTGGACTTTCCTCGAGCCAGGCTGGCAACATGGGTCGCTCTCCCTCTGGGCCTCAGTTTCCCACCAGAGAAAATGTCGGACTGTATCCGAGTTTCCTAGACTTTTTGTTTTTAACCTTGATCTGCAGTAAGAAATGCATTTTACACCGAGGCCCATTGTATGTATGGTATTGTGTGTGTATGTGCGGATGGATATATACACTTTGGCGTTAATTTTGTGTATCAACTTGACGGGCCCTGGGCTGCCCAGATTAAACATTGTTTCTAGGTGTGTCCCTGAGGCTGTCTCTGGGTGAGGGGAGCATTTGAACCCCCGGACTCAGTACAGTGGGTGGCCCTCTCTGATGTGGGCACCTCCAGCCCATCCAGGGCTCGGATGGCACAGAGGCAGAGGCAGGAGGAACCCGCCCTTTTTCTCCTCCCTCTCTGAGCTGGGACATTAATCGCGTGTCCTGGCCTCAGACGTCATTTACACCGTGGGCTCCCCTGGCTCCCAGGCCTTTAGGCCAGAGCCAAACTGCACCCCCAGCTCGCCGGGGTCTCCAGCACGTGGATGGCGGACCCTGGGACCCTCAGGAAGCCCCAGTTGTGGGCCAGTTCTCCATTCTCTGTCTCTGCCTGTCTCTCTCCTCATACATACAGGGTGGGGCAAAAGTAGGGTTACAGTATGGGAAATAATACAATTATTAATAATAATACAATGATTAATAATAAGAATAAACTCTGTATTTTGCATCCTCACCACCATGAACCTGCGTTACCTCACTGTGTATGTGTATATGTGTATCTCTATGTGTATATATCTGTGTAAGTATATAGGTATATGTATCTTATTGCTGTTTTTCTGAAGAACCCTGACCAATAGGCTCACGTTGCGTATACGTGTTTCTGTGCACATTTATCTCAATTATCTATCTATCATCTATCATCCATCTATATAACCGGGCCAGAATTGCAAGACTTGCAGTTTAAAAAACATTGAGAGTTGGTGGTCGATAATGCCCTTCCCAATTCTGCTATTTTAAGCTTATTTCCAAGCCCGTCATTGGCTGGTCGGTTGAAGGTGCAGGTAAAGGTTGCAGGGACACGTGCTCGCCCTTGGCACAGGGCGCAGCCCCGCGGTGGCGTTCTCTCCCTGTCAGGCGTTACTTTTGCCTGAATCGGCCTCAGCACCTTGGAGTCCACCTGCTTCTCCCCAACTGGCTTTTCCCTTCAGGTATTAATACTTCGCATTTTCTGCTGTGTCCTGTAATTTTCTATTGTGAGATTACCCCCCCCCCAGCTTTACGGAGGTGTAATTTACAAAATAGAATTTTAATATATTTGAAGTGTACAACGTGATGATCTGATGTATGTGTACGTGCTGAAATGACTTCTATCACCAGGTTAATTAACTGACCGTCACCTCTCACATACACACAGTTGTGTGTGTGTGTGTGTGTGTGTGTGTGTGTGTGAATGCCTAAAACCTGCTCTCCTGGTGAACTTCCGGCACAGAGTGCGGGGTTCACTGTCGTCGCCAGCTGCACAGGGGCTCCTCAGACCGGATTCACCTGCCAGCCGAAAGTGTGTACTCTTTGACCAGCCTCACCCCATTTCTGCTCCCTGCCGCCCCCGTCCCCACGACCACCATTCTGCACTGTCTCTACCTTTAAGAAAAGGCCACCCATAGATTATGCAATGTGGTGCCTTCCTGACTTAGTTCACTCAGCGTGGGGCCCTCTAGGTCCATCCATGCTGTTGCAAGTGGCAGGATTTCCTTTTTATTTTATTTTATTCTATTTATTTATTTTAGAGAGAGGGGAAGGGAGGGAGAAAGACAGGGAGAGAGACATAGATTGGTCCCGTCTCACACATCCCCGAATGGGGACCAGGCCTGCAATCCAGGCGTGTGCCCTGACTGGGAATCAAACTGGTGACCCTTTGGTTCTCAGGCCCAGGCTCAATGCACTGAGTTACACCAGCCAGGGCAGATTTCCTTATTTCTTATGACTGAGTAATATTCCATCCTATGTACACAGCATGTTTTGTGTATCCATTCATCTGCCCACGAGACTGGGCTGTCCCAACTGATGCTGAACATGGCGGGCGTGTAGGTCTGGGGTGACTTCTTTGGTGTTTTCTCTGCAGGAATCCTTCCATGTCTAAGTGTGAATTATGTTCTCACACAGAGGGTCTGTGTGTTTCCCTTCCGCAAGCGAAACCGCTTTAAAATAAACTTTTCTTGGGGTGCCTCGTAGCTGGCACAAGTTTCAGCCCCAGGTCCACGTGGAGCCGCTGTTTGATCAGGAGTGATCGAGGGAGACTCTGCTCAGGGCAGAGACAGGCAGGTATTCCCACCGCCTCCAGGTGCAGGGGGTCTGTTTAGGGTGTACAGCTGTCCCAGCTTTGTGACAGGGGGCTCCCACTCTACTTGAGCCCAGATTTTGTCCTCAGAGCTCCTTCCCTTCATGTTGATCCATTAAAACTCAAGCTTGAGGCCAACGGGGACGCTCTGATGACCACTCACCCTTCCCTGGGGTTTAGTGGGCACTTGCCTCCTGACATTGGGCTTTCCGACGATTTTTAGCCTTTGAGGATTTTTCTTTTCTCCCAGCTGAGCCAAGCATTTATGAAGTTATTTTAGTTTTATTTGTCATATTTTTTGGCATTTTTTACTGCAAGAATTTTTTGAACATCTGAACTGTTGATTATCGGAAACAAAAGGTCCCACTAGTGCTTCCTGACGGAGAACCCCGCACCCCAGATGCCACCTCACTTACAGCAGGGGAGAAGAATGCAGCGTCTGCCGGATGGCTGGGTGGCAGAGGTTTCCTTGGAGGGTGTGGTGGGGCGGGGGAGTCAGCCGGGCACCTTGAGGCAGCCCTTTGATTAAGAGAGTGGCTGCCTGCATTCCCTGTCACATCAGCATTGACACTTACTCACTGTGTGACTTTGGGCTGACAGCTTAAGCCCTGGAGCCCTATCTGTACAGTGGGGCAGTATTTGTACCACCCAATAAGGCTTCGGGAAGATTACACGTGTTTAACTCCCTAGCCTGGTCCTTGGCAGTAGCAAGTGTTCAGTCAGTGGCGGCTGTTGTTGCTGGACGTCCTGCCCTCCAGGCTGCTTTGGCTGTGGGTTTCCCCTTGTCTGAAAAGGCGGCATGTCAGCATGGGGGGGTGCCAAGGGGGCGGTGGTGGTGGGAATCGGGGTTTCTGTCTAGCTGTGCGAATTGGGGCACGTCATGCCATTTCACTACTGTCTCCCTTGGAAACATCCTCCTCCTCCGTGGAACGAGAGGGTGGACTAAGTGATTTCTGAGTATCTTCTCGCCCTCACAGCCTGTGAGTCTCATAACAGCACAAGGTGCCTGCAAAGCACAGCTTCCTCCCAGGAGCCCTTGGCGTGTAGACAGACTGAACATCCCAGCACTGATCTGTAAAATTTGGACCTTTGGAGTTTGGCATATATTTCTTTTTTTAAAATTAAGAAAATTTTAATTTAAAAAATTTGCTTCAGAGAGAGCAAGAGGAAGGAAGAGAGAGAGAGAAACATTGATTTATTGCCCCACTTATTTATCGTCCCACTGTTGCTTCTTGTCTGCACTGTGACCGGAGATTGAGCCCACCCACTGCCTGACCAGGGTGGCGTGTATTTTCCCATAAGGCGAGGTGGTGTTTGCTCCCAGGGACAGCTCACAGTACGCAGCTCCGTCCACAAGAAGCGAAGCAGGAGCATCGCACATTTGTGTTGAAAGTGATGGAAAGCAACACTGTCCCAACACAAGCAATTAAGCAGAACAGGAAAACAAGTCCATTGAATAAGGACTCCCTTTTTCTTTATCCAGGATCCTGGGGCTTGAGGGAAGCAGGTTAATTCAGAAGACAAGAGGAGTTCTGGAGATGCATGTAGGGTGGGGGTGGGGTCCCTGGGCTCTCTCGAGAGAGTCCGACTGGTGCTGATGGCACAGCTTCTATTTATTTATTTTACTGTGCTTATAGTTTATGTTTTTTCCTAAGAAAGAGTTGTTTATTCTCCCTGCCTGGTGTGGTTCAGTGGGTTGAACACCAGGCTGAGAACCAAAGCATCACTGGTTTAATTCCCAGGCACGTGCCCTGACTGGGAATGGAACCTGTGACCCTTCCCCTGGCACTCAATCCACTGAGCCATAGCAGCCAGGGCTTTTCTATGTTTTTTAACGTATATTTTATTGATTATGCTATTACAATTGTCCCATTTTTTTCTCCCTTTTATCCCCCTCTGCTCTGCACCCCCTCCCTCCAACATTCCCCCCACCAGCTGTTAGTGTATGTCCATGAGTCATACATATAAGTTCTTTGGCTTCTCCATTTCCTATACCATTCTTAACCTCCCCCTGTCTATTTTGTGCCTACCGATTATGTTTCTTATTTGGGCATAAGTTCTTTAAATGTCTGAGTTTGGTTAAAAATTCAAGGATTCCTCCCACAGCACCTTATTCATCCCTGACCTGAGCCCTTCTCTCCTGTCCCACAGGCACGGCGATCTCGGGGGCTCAGCGGCGAAAGGCGGAGAGGGGAGAGAAGAAAAGGGAGCAGGAGACGCAACGGTGATCATCCCGGCAGCACCACAGGCCTGCGTTGCTGGGCCTCTATCGTGCCGGCCAACAGGATTTTTTAATACAGTACTACAAATTACTTTATTTTATTTCTCCATCTCTTTTGAGGTATAATTGACCAATAAAAACTGCGTATTTTTCAGGTGTGTGGCTCCATGTTCTGACATACACATTGTAAAAGAACCACTACAGTCAGTCTAATTAACATGCATGCATCCCTCACCTTTCGTACTTACCTTTTTTTCTTTTTGTGGTGTGAACACTCAACATCCATCCTCTTAGGAAATATCAAGTGTACAGTGCAGTATCTGCACAGCATTTTAAAGTGTTTAAAAAAATCATCTTCCAGGACGTTACTTCTAGGCCATTAAAAATATTCAGATTTCTGGCTATGGGAAGCCCTAGCGACCTGGGGTATGGCACTAAACTTCCACAGGTGACAACAAGCAGGTGCTTACCTGACTAAGTCCCCTTCATTCAATATAAATATTTTCTGGGTGGCCTCTGTTGGCGTTTGGGTTTGGGAACCGCAAGTGACATCATTTAGTAAGGGGATTAAAAAGAATGTGAAGGTGATTGCAGGAAAGAGATGATCTGAGAAGGAATCAACTGAAAGAAGTGATAAATGATACAAAGAGAAAGGGGAGGTTAGTTGTGTATTGTTACTGAAAGAAAGAGGGCAGGGGAAAGGGGGTCAGGTCAGGGCAGTCAGTTCCTACTTTGGCCACCAGGGGGCCTCTCAGTCCCAGTGAAGCTTTGTTAATGTTCAAGGGGCCTTCTGGATGGTGGGGAGATGCAATTCGCAAATGTTCAGTATATCTTGTGTTGTACATGAGGTCTCCAGGTTAAGAGGCAGGAAACTCTGAGCCAAATCCTGGGGTTCCCAGAGAAAAGAGTTTGCCTATATCTCAGATATAAGGACAATTGAGCTGTGGTGTGGGTGCTCTTTTGATCACTAGGGTGAACTTGGTGGGTAGGGCCTCCCTCCAGTTTCACTGTTCCAGGTGAGACTGCCCATAGCTCTGTGCTGGTTACAGGTGGGGGCTGCATACTCCTATCCATGTCACCATTTACAGGCTGTCTCCCCCTGTCCCTGTGTCGCTTGGCAGTTTCTGAGTAGTTACAGCAGACTGGACTCCTCTGGGACATCATTCTCAAGTTTTGGTGGGCACTTGGGGAGTTTGGTTGCAGGCAGAGGTGCATCTCAGACGTTATGAAACAGACCCTTGGGGTGGGGGCTTAGGAATCTGCCTAAAACAAGCAGCTGCAGTTGCTCTGACCTGGAGGTCCTCAGCCTGCCACTCTGGAGCCTGGCTGTAAGATGTTTGGCTAATGGGTTCATGGAAGCCTGTAGCACATAGGCTGGGGACTGGTTAGAGCTTCAGCAAGTCCCTCTCCTTGGACTCCTTCTCTGCAACATGAGGGATTTGGCCGGGCGGAGCTCTAGATGCTCTTCTCGCTCTGCCAGCTGGAATTCCACAGCTGTGCCTCTGTTTAGAGGACTCCCCAGTGTGGACATCCACTTCTCTGCTCAGGCCCACTTCTCAGATGGCCGTTCAGCCGTAGCTGGCTCAGGGGCTACTTCCTGCTGCTCCTGGACTGTGCATTCCCCCAGCCCAGTCTCCGGATGCTGAGGAAGGGCCCAGAGAGCAGGCTCCTGGGTACCAGGGAGAGCCTGTGTCTTAGCCTTCCTGCACCCTGACGGACTTCCTCCTCCAAATCATGTGCTACTGGCCTCTGGTGCAGAAGAAAGCTGTGTCTCAGATGCACAGTAACCAAGACACTGCAGGGCTGCTCCTGGGTGAACTCGACATGCAGCTCTCTGGGTCTTTCTGCGCTCCTGTGCCCAGAGCTTGCCTCCTGCTCATGGCATGCAGATGTTGTGGACTGACTGTGTCTCCCCCACATTTATATGAAGGCTCTAACCCCTCGTGGGACTGTATTTGGAGAGAGGGCTTTTAAAGAGATAGTTGGGGTTAAATAAGGTCACAAGGGTGGGGCCCTGATCTGATAGAAATGGTGTCCTTCTAACAAGAGGAAGAGACGCCAGAGCTCGCTCTGCGTGAGCACAGAGGAACGGCCGGTGAGGACTCGGTGGGAAGGAGGTGGTCCTCAAGCCGGCGAGAGAGCCTTCAGTGGAAACCACCGCTGCTGACACCGGGATCTCAGACTTCGAGCCTCCAGCCCTCTCTGTTGTTTAATCACCATGGTGTTTTGCTATAGTGGCCCAGCCAGACTAATACAAGAGGGAATACTCATTCACTCATTCATTCATTCATTCATTCATTCACTCACTCATTCATTCATTCATTCAAGCAGGTCACACATTTGTACACAATGAATTACCTATAAGCAACCTTCAAGTTACTCTGGGCTTTGGGAGATTGCAACAAGGTCACTGTGGTTCAAGTTTTTCCATCTTCACCCAAACTTCCCCAGAAGTCTCACATCCAGACCCACATTTCAGGGCACTGGATGCAGTACTGCAAACTCACTTCAGCCCTTTAACTGCTCCCTTGCAAAGTACTACTCTTGGCACCAAAAGATAAAAGCCCGAGAGGTAAGGTACCATTCCGGGGAGTTACTTGGGTGTGCACACGTGTGGGCTTGTGTGTGGGGACCCCAAGCGTTTGTGTAAATACAGCAGTCACACGTGGGTCCGCTAAATGAAGCTGAGGGAGAGAGCCCAGGAGTTGGAGCACCCTGCATGTCCGTTTACATGGAAAAGACCAGATCTGAGTCTAAATCCCTGGGTTGAAATAAGCTTTTGCGTATCAGTTATGCTATAGGCAAGATACCTAATTTCTCTGGTTTTCAATATCTTGCTCTGTGAAACCAAGAAAATGGAAATGTTCCTCGGAGGGGACCTGTGAGGACCGCAGGGCGCAATGGAAACCCTCTAGCTGCGCACTGCCCACACATGTGAGGGGTCCGGATGCTCTGCTGTCCGGGGGCTGGTGGCCTGCTCTGCTCTCTGGCAGTCCCTTCCCCGTGGCTTGCTGACTCTGGCACCCAGGGAGGAGGTGAGACCACAGGCTGGGTGTCCTCCCCGGGGCAGGGGCTCCCAGAGACTTTGGTTTCCCCTTTCTCCTTTCCCCATGTGCCTGGCCCTGGCCCCCTCTGGGTGTTCAAGAATTATTTTCGAACACATAAATGAATGAATGAATAAATGAATGAATGAATGGCACTCAATACCCAAGTATTGAATGGAACAAAGTGTCTTGTGGGACTCCTTTGAGCCTTCTCTCTGGGTTCTTTTCAGCTGGAGTGGGGATGGGCGTTAAGGATAAAACCAACGTTTCCCCTGCTGTTTCTGCTGGGAGTAATGCTAATCTACCCACCATCGTTTGGGGAGAAGAGAACAGGCAAGGAAGTTCTCTGAGCACTCGTGAGAGCCTGCGAGTGGCCCTGGTGTAGTCGTCTCTCTGCTACGGGTCCTCCATGGCGGCTGTTTTTTGAACAACTACTATGTGCCGGGTACCATGCTGGGTGCTGGGGGTGAAAGCATGACCCGCACGGACCATTAGTTATCTCACAAGGTGGCATTTTTTAATCTCACTTAATCTTTCGAACAGCTGTGCTAGGACCTCATGAAATATGGTACAGAAAGAGAGTTTATAAACTGTAAAGCACTATAAAATGTCAGGGACCATTATAAAGACGGTTGGCACCCCTTCCCCCACCTCTGCAGCTGGCCCAGCAGCCTCCCGGTGCCGCGTTGGCACCTACCTTGCCTGTCTCCTTCCCGGCTAATTGGGGAGGCTCTCCAGGCCTGATTTATGCAGACATTCACACACTCGCCCACTGAACATTATTCTAATCAGACACCTCATTATTGGAAGCCTGCCTTCTCGGGCTGCCTGGCCAGGGTTATTACAGGATATTATACAGACCATTTGCACGGCCACCTTCAGGTCATTTCCATTACTTTAAGCTACTTACAGACCCATTTTCTTCTCCATAATATTTGCCTAATTCGATTACTCCACAGCCTCAACTGGGTTCAAAATGGAAGCAGGATTTACACCTGGGAGCAAAGTCAACTGGATCCCGACACACCCTCAGCCCTTGGGGCCCTGCTCGGTCCCAGTGGATGGCGGTGACTCGGTGGAGAGCGGCATACAGCGGGAGATGACACACAGGAGGCTTTTCCAGTCCCTGAGTCGCTGTCTGTGACGCGTGAGAGCCCTCTGTCCTTTTCCCTCGTGCCCGCAGCACGCTTTATCGTAACTGGTCGTGTGGTCCCGGTTTTCCTGCTGGGCGCACGCTGTGTGAGGGTGAGGACTCTGCCCGTCTGCTGGTTCCTGTGTCCCCAACCTGTAGCACAGTGGCCCATATACATAACCGATCAATGAATAGGTACATGTTTGTTGATTCACTGATTGAATGGATGGGTCCTTAACTGCTTTTAACCACCTCTGCTAGGAATGGGGTACCTAAAACTGCTCAGAGGTTAGTCCTGCCTGGGGGTCAAAGCCCCCATTCCTGCTGTCCTGCTTGTGCTCCCAGACTAGTGTCTGGTTCCCGAGGGCCCGGTCTGGCACTTCTGCTCACTGACTGGCGCTCTGCGGGGTGAGAGGCCAGGGAACACGGACCTCCAGAGCGCGTTCCCAGCCGGAGGCAGCTGTACTTCCCAGGAGGCTCAGCAATGCCCGGGGCCATCTTTGATTGTCAGACTGAGGGATGCTGATGGCATCCGGTGGCAGGTCAGGGTGCTGCCTGACACCCTATTACGCATAGGATGACCCCCCAGGACAGAGATCGCCCCGTTCGAAATGCCGGCAGTGCCAAGGCTGAGGGACAGCCCTAGAGTTAGTCCACCCCATTTAACAGAAGGGGGGACACCAGGTTTTTGGTGGACAGCTGGACTCTTGTGGCTTCTGAGGGGGTCTTTATATGACACCTTGTCTTCCCCATGCAAGTTCTGAACCATGAACCAGGCAGAGGGAGGTCAGAACGCCGCCTTTGTTACTGAGAACTGTCGGGGAAGAGGGCATTGGTCTGTCGCCGAGGAGGCTGCTGGTTTTGCACGTCTGCGTGGAGTTGGTCCCTCTCCCGGGAGCACCCAGGGCTCTGTGCAGAGCCTGCCGCAGTGCGGAGAGGAAGAGGGTGCCTGTCGCTTTGAG